CTATAAAGTACAGACTGTCTCCTCAAGCAGCTCCCTGACCACTATATATCCAAAGAGTCACCTCAAAAAGGACTGATCAGACTGACATTTGGTGGGCATCATTCTGGGAAAAAGACAGCAGAAGAAGAAACTGGTAGCACCCCTCACTGTTCCGCAGCTGCTCATACGACAGGTGGATAAATCCACAAAGATGGAAAAAAACCAGTGCAAAAAGGAGGAAAACACCTGAAACCAAAACACCTCGACTCCTACAAAGGACCGAAACTCCTCACCAGCAAGGGAACAAAGCTGGACGGAGAATGAGTGTGACGAAATGACAGAATCAGACTTCAGAAGGTAGATAATGAGAAACTTCTGTGAGCTAAAAGAATATGTTCTAAATCAACGCAAAGAAACTAAGAACCTGGAAAAAAGATTTGAAAAAAGATTTTAGGAAATGATAACAAGAATGGACAACTTAGAGAGGAATATGAATGAATTGAAGGAGCTGAAAAATACAACACGAGAACTTCGTGAGGCATGCACAAGTTTCAATAGCCAAATTGACCAAGCAGAAGAAAGAATATCAGAAGTCAAAGATCAACTCAAAGAAATAAAATGAGAAACCAAGATTAGAGAAAAAAGCACAAAAAGGAATGAACAAAGTCTCCAAGAAATGTGGGACTATGTGAAGAGACCCAACCTACGTTTGATAGGTGTACCAGAATGTGACGAAGAGAATGAATCCAAGCTGGAAAATACTCTTCAAAATATTATCCAGGAAAATTTCCCCAACCTAGCAAGGCAGGCCAATATTCAAGTCCAGGATATAGAGAGAACACCACAAAGATATTCCACAAGAAGAGCAACCCCAAGGCACATAATCGTCATATTCAAGAGGGTTAAAATGAAGGAGAAAATACTAAGGGCAGCCAAAGAGAAAGGTCAGGTTACCCACAAAGGGAAGCCCATCAGACTCACAGGAGATCTCTCAGCAGAAACTCTATAAGCCAGAAGAGAGTGGGGACCAATATTCAACATCCTTAAAGAAAAGAACTTTCAATGCAGAATTTCATATCCAGCCAAACTGAGCTTCATAAGGGAAGGAAAAATAAAATCCTTTGTGAACAAGCAAGTACTCAGAGATTTTGTCACCACCAGGCCTGCTTTACAAGAGCTCCTAAAAGAGGCACTACACATAGAAGGGAACAACCAGTATCAGCCATTCCAAAATCACACTAAATGCTAAAGAGCATCAACATAATGAAGAATCTGCAACAACTTATGGGCAAAACAGTGAGCTAGCATCAAAATGTCAGTATCAAATTCACACATAACAATGTTAACCCTAAATGTAAATGGGCTAAATGCACCAATCAAAAGACACAGACTGGCAAATTGGATAAAAAACCAAAACCCATCGGTGTGCTGTATCCAGAAAACCCATCTCACATGCAAGGTTACACAAAGCCTCAAAATAAAGGGATGGAGGAAGATTTACCAAGCAAATGGAGAGCAAAAAAAAGCAGGAGTTGCAATTCTCATCTCTGATAAAATAGACTTTAAAGCAACAAAGATCAAAAGAGACAAAGAAGGTCATTACATAATGGTAAAAGAATTGATACAAGAAGAGCTAATGATCCTAAACATATATGGACCCAATACAGGAGCACCCAGATATATAAGTCAAGTTCTTAACGACTTACAAAGAGACTTAGACTCCCACACAATAATACTGGGAGACTTTAACACTCCACTGTCAATATTAGACAGATCAACCAGACTGAAAATTAACAAGGATATCCAGGGCTTGAACTCAGACCTGGAACAAGCAAACCTGATAGACATTTACAGAACTCTACACCCCAAATCCACAGAATATACATTCTTCTCAGCGCCACATTACACCTACTCTAAAATAGACCACATAATTGGAAGTAAAGCACTCCTCAGCAAATGCAAAACAACTGAAATCATAACAAACAGTCTCTCAGACCATAGTGCAATCAAGTTAGAACCCAGAATTCAGAAACTAACTCAGAACCGCACAGCTTCGTGGAAACTGAACAACTGGCTCTTGAATGTTGATTGGATAAACAATGAAATGAAGGCAGAAATAAAGAAGTTCTTCGAAACCAAGGAGAACGAAGGACAACATACCAGAATCTCCGGGACACATTTAAAGCAGTCTCCAGAGGAAAATATATAGCAATAAGTGCCCACATGAGAAGAGTGGAGAGATCCAAAATTGACACCCTATCGTCAAAATTGAAAGAGCTAGAGGAGCAAGATCAAGAAAACTCAAAACGTAGCAGAAGACAAGAAATAACTAAGATCAGAGCAGAACTGAAGGAGATAGAGACACAAAAAACCCTTCAAAAAATCAATAAATCCAAGAGCTCTTTTTTTTTAAAAGATCAACAAAATAGACAGGCCACTAGCCAGACTGGTAAAAAAGAAAAGAGAGAACAACCAAATAGATGCAATAAAAAATGATAAAGGGGAAACCACCACAGATTCCACAGAAATTCAAATCATCATCAGAGAATACTACAAACAACTCTATGCACATAAACTAGTAAACCTGGAAGAAATGGATAAATTCCTGAACACTTGTGTGCTCCCAAGCCTAAACCAGGAGGAAGCTGAAACTATGAATAGACCAATAACAAGGACTGAAATCCAGGCAGCAATTAAGAGCCTACCACACAAAAAAAGCCCAGGTCCAGACGGGTTCACAGCCGAATTCTACCAGACACACAAGGAGGAGCTGGTACCATTCCTTCTGAAACTATTCCAAATAATCCAAAAAGAGGGAATCCTTCCCAAATCATTTTATGAGTCCAATATCATCCTGATACCAAAACCCGGCAGAGACTCAACAAGAAAAGAAAACTTCAGGCCAATATCCATGATGAACATAGATGCAAAAATCTTCAATAAAATACTGGCAAACCGATTGCACAGCATATCAAAAACCTTATCCATCATGATCAAGTAGGATTCATTCCGGGGATGCAAGGCTGGTTCAACATACGCAAGTCCATAAATGTAATTCACCACATAAACAGAACCAAAAATAAAAACCACATGATTATCTCAATTGACGCAGAGAAGGCATTTGCAAAATTCAACAGCCCTTTATGCTAAAAACCCTCAATAAACTCGGTATTGATGGAACGTATCTCTAAATAATAAAAGCTATTTATGACAAACCAACAGCCAATATCATACTGAATGGGCAAAAACTGGAAGCATTCCCTTTGAAATCCGGCACTAGACAAGGATGCCCTCCCTCACCACTCCTATTCAATATAGTACTGGAAGTCCTAGCCAGAGCAATCAGGCAAGAAAAAGAAATAAAGGGTATTCAAATAGGAAAGGGGGAAGCCAAAAAGTATTGGGGGGATCCAGTGAGGGATAGCCTGGAGAGAAATGCCAAATGTGGGTGAAGGAGAGGAAGGCAGCAAAACACACTGCGATGTGTGTACCTATACAACTATCTTGCATGTTCTGCACATGTACCCCAAAACCTAAAATGCAATAAAACAACAACAAAAAAAACATATCCCAGACTCTGCAAAAAATAAATAAATAAATAAATATAAAATTTCAATACTAAAATTTTATTTCAAAGTTTAGAAATAACTGACATAATGCTTCCTCCTATGTGTAGGTGCCTGTAGTTATGTCACCATAATCGGTGCATCATATAGTTTTAAAACATCATAAAAGAAATAAAATAATAACAATGTTAAAAAAATTAATATTAATAAATAATTATTAATAATCTGAACACTCAAATAATTAATCTGGGCCCTGTAAAGCTGACATAAAATTAACCATCACAAGGAAGCTCCATACAGTTTATCACTAATCTTTCTCCTGTAGAGGTGGTAATTACTGAAAACTCTTCTTTCCTTATCGAGAACATTTGACCAGAATTTTTCTGCAGACCCTTCCTCTACTGAGTAATTTGTTAGTGGAAAAAGAAGGTGAATGCCCTTTGGATAAATCTTCCTCTGGAGTCAGGGTCATTCAACAGGAAAAGTATCATAAGAGTCCAAGCTCTGAAGTTGACTGAAGTTTCACTTAGATTTCATACCAGGCAAGCACAACATATTTCCAAGTAGTCTAGTAAGCTGTAAGTTTTCTGTTCTGGTTTCCTCTAAATCTTACATCTAAAGCCACTTAATCCTCACATAAATATTCAGCTCCACCTCAGATTCTGAAGAGTCTTTATGAAAGATATTAAAAGGAGCCTCAAGTCAGTTGGTTTACCTCAACAAACTTATTTTTATACTAAAGCTTGACATGGTACAAGTTACTGATAACAATATAAATAACCACAAAGGTAAATAATCCATAGGCTTTATGATTGATGTGATTATAGTCTAATGCAGTAGTCCCTTAAATGCTAATGTGTATAAGAATTATCAGGGATGTTGTTAAAAATATAGAATCTGACCCCACTCCTAGAGTTCTGATTCACTAATACTTTTAGGTATTGATGAATACCTAATACTTTTAGGTATTAGGTATTAAAAGTATTATATATTAGGTATTCATTACCTAATACCTAATGAGAGAATGAGCAACTTCTCCTTGGCAATGTTCATCTAAGAACTAAACACAGAATAGGTAGTATAATATAATGCAGCGTCAAAGCACTATGTTTAAAAAATGGTTAGAATCATAGACTTAGGCACTAGAAGATCTGGATTTGAATCTAGCACTACTACTTACTAGTGTGACACTAGATAAGTTATTTAGTTTCTTCCTATCTCTATAAAATCTTACCTCCTAAAATTGTGATGTTTAATATACATGGGCTAATGAGTATAAAAAAATGTACTGAAGTTTACTGTCTTACTAATTGTGTTTTACTGTTGTGCTATAGCGAAACACCTCAATATAAAATGGAACTTGAGAATCAGTATAGGCAAAATGAGTAATGGAGAGAAGATTTATATCCTGAGGGATGAAGAAAGAGATTTTTTAAATTAGAAATGGGGCCTCACTATGTTGTCCAAGCTGGCTTTGAACTCCTGGTTGCAAGTGATCCTCCCTCCTCAGTCCTCTGAGTAGCTGGATTGCAGGCTTACACCACCACACCTGGCAGAAGAAAAATATTTTTAAAGAGATTTACAGAGACATCTGATGAAGAAGATTACTTAAAGTTCACTTTATGTACAAGTTTCCCCAAGAAAATTCCATAACATTCACATTACTGACCAATGCTTTTGAAGTTGGACTTGCTTTTGCAGAGAGTGCTGAGTCTGTTTTCAAAGTGGACTTGGTTCAAGAGAAAGAGCTGCTCAAAGTGTTTAGTCACATTTTTATTATAGAAGTAAAAGGCTACTAAAGGCTGGCACATAGTAAGTCCCCAGTATATCAGAGTTATTATTCTAGCGATGTCATGCACTCTAAAAAGAGGCATGTAGTGGGCTGATGGAGGCCTGCAGAAAGGCATGGCCACATCCTTATCTTCATAGATGTGAATATTGCCTTATATGGCAAAAGATGTGATTAAGTTAAGGGTCTTGCAAGGAGGGATTTATCCTGGATTATCTGGGTGAGCACTTATGCAATGATATGCTTTTCTAAAATATAAATCTTAGGCAGACAGAGTTTTAAAACATATGAGATGGCAACATGACCATGGAAGCAGAGACTGTAGTGATTTAACCACAAGACAAGGAACTACTGGAACCAGCAGAGGTGTAGGCAAGGAACAGATTTTCCCTTACAACCGTTAGAGGGAGCATTGCCCTCCTGATACTTCTATTTCATACTTCGGGCTTTCAGAGCTGGAAGAGAAAATATTTCTGTGTTTTAGGTCATCCAGTTTGTAGTAATTTGCTACAGAAGCTACAAGAAACAAAAACGCCTCAGCTTGTGAGTCCTGCTTTCTGAGCTGAAGTAAACTTGAAGGGAAAAAAAAATCCCAGCCAGTTACTACTACACGTAAATCATCAATTAACAAAAAAAAAAAAAAGGAAAGGTAAAAAGAAAAAGTCACAAGACATGAAACAGCATGATTTTTAAAGGTAATATAATGCTAACAAAGCATGAATTGTGGCTGTGGAGAAAGATAAATGATGAAATCAGAGATATAGATGAGGTCCGCATATAGCATAGCTAAGGAGTCAAAACTTCTCTATGTTTTCGGCATGAGTATCATCTCAGAGTTGTTTTTTTTTAATGCAAAGTTAGAAGCCACACTCCAAATGTTATTCTAACAGAATCTGCATTTTAACAACATTCTCAGATCATTTTATACACTCTATAGTTTGAGAAGCATGCCTCTAGGGTAAGGCTATTGGGAAATTTTGAAAGATGTAAAGCAGAGAAGGGCAAGATAATATTTGCATTTCAGATCAACCAATCCAAAGGTATTTTGAAGAACAGATTTAACTGGGATAAAACCCAAATCAGAGACAAGTGACTTCAACAGTACTTGTTACAGATTATAAAGTTTTGAACAAAGATATGGGTAAATATAGACAGGGAAAATGACATATATTTAAGAAATATTTAGATGATGGTCTGATATATACTAATTCTGCTTTCCCCTAGGTTCTATAATATGCCTGCTTATTCGTGCCTATATTTCAAAAAGCATCTTAGAACAGGCTTTTTTCTGTCTGTCCTACTTTCTATTGAGGCACCGATGGATGATAAGACACCTAAGTGAGTCTGAGATATAATTTTCCCTACATATACAGGTTTACAAAAGAAATGTATCCAAGAAACGGTAACGTGATTCTTTGAGCCTTCAACCAAATTAAAGATATTTTTTAAAAAGTGTCAGAGAAAGTGGAGGAGAAGCTTCTTGAGAGAGTTGTTACAGTGTTGTGAGTACTCACCCCTCTGGGGAATAGGCATAGGTGAGTACTACTTTCTAACCTCAACGGAAGCAAGGGGTATTGCAAGGAGACTATAGGAGAGGTTTGGAATGTTTTTTATGCAGTTAGAAAACCCACGGCTGGGTGTGGTAGCTCATGCCTGTAATCCCAGTACTTTGGGAGACTGATAGAGGATTGCTTTAGGTGAGGAGTTGGAGATCAGACGTAACGAGTCCCTGTCACTACAAAAAAAATTAATTTAAAAAGAAAAAGAAAAACCAAAGAAGTAGTGTTGTACTGACACCAGAAAAAGCTTAAGTGGACTGCAGATTGGGGTCTAACCTTGCCTCAGGTAATTTAGAGCCTAAGAGGATGACTCTCTGCTTGGTGGTAGAGCCAGGAGATACTGTTGCTTTAAGACTTGCCCTCATTCTTAAAGCTTCTCAGGGAAAGGAATATAAGCCATCAAAAAGAGAGCTAAAGTGGATCATTCTGTTATGGTTTTAATTTTGTTTATATTTTTAAATTATTTCCAAGGAGCATAGATTAAAGTTGTTCTGAATATAAAATCCCTAGTGTGGGTCATTCTGGGTTCTATATTAGTCAAGTTTCTCAGATCTCCAGAGAAATAGAGCCAATAGGATGGATGGATAGACAGATAGATGGATGGATGGATAGATGATTGATAGGACAGATAGATTAGATAGATAGATAGATAGATGATAGATAGATAGATAGATAGATAGATAGATAGATGATAGATAGATAGATAGATAGATAGATGATAGACAGATATGATGCAGATGTATATGAGGGGATTTATTATGGGAATTAGCCCACATGATTATGGATACTTTGAAGTTCCACAATATGCTGTTTGCAAGCTGGAGAACCAGAAAAGCCAGTAATGTGATTCAGTCTGAGTCCAAAAGCCTGAGGAGCAGGAAAACCAGAAGTGTAACTCCTACTCTGAAGCCAAAAACTGGGGAGGAGTGGGGGTAAGAATGGGGTGCTAGTCTAAGTGCCAGAGTCCCAGGCCCTAAAACCAGGAGCACTGATGTGCAACATGAGGAAAGGATTGATGTCCCAGCTCCAGAAGAGAGCAAGTTTGCTCTGCTTATGACTTTATATTCTATCAGGAAGGTTAATACATTGGATATGCCTGCCCACATTGTCGAGGGTGGATCTTTTACTCAATCTGCTAATAAAAATACTAATCTCTTTTGGTGGTATCCTCAAGGACACACCCTGAAATAATGTTTTACCAGCTATCTGGGCATGCCTTATGCAAGTCAAGTTGACACATGAAATTAACCATCACAGGTTCTCTCCAATAAAACCATATGGAGAAGTAAGGAGTTCCTCTCAAAAAAGAAAGTGTAGGTGCACAGCAGATTTCCCTGGAGTGGAGGAAGGAAAGATGCATCAACCAGAGAAATGCAGGAGTTGGGAGGGTCTAGTTGGGATCCTTCAAAGAGTCCTCAAAAGTGTCCCCCAAGAAAAAGTTTGTTTTAATCTTTTACTAGGACTTGCCAGGAACCCTTGCCTTTAGACCCAGAGAGGGAGACCTCTGGGCTTTGCAACCAAGCAAGAAATTTCCTATAAGTGGCCGGAAGTAGTGGCTCATACCTGTAATCCCAGCACTTTGGGAGGCCAAGGCAGGCAGATCACTTGAGGCCAGGAGCACGAGACTAGCATGGCCAACATGTAAAACCCCATCTCTACTAAAAACACAAAAATTAGCCAGGCATGGTAGTGCAAGCCTGTAACCCCAGCTACTAGGAAGGCTAAGGCATGAGAATTGCTTGAGCCCAGGAGGCAGAGGCTGTAGTGAGCTGAGATCACCAGTACACTCCAGCCTGGGTGACAGAGTGAGACTCTGCCTCAAAAAAAAAGAGAGAGAGAGAAGTTTCCTATATTTCCTGATCTTTTCTCAGTCTCACAACTACTAAGGGACATATGTAGCCTTAGAAATGACAGAGATAAGTGGGATAGGAGGATGTCACGATATGGAGAAAGGAGAGAGAAGAAGGTCCACTCTACTTCCTCAGTTCAGGCTCTCAGCCTCAAGTAGGCTTATGCTAGGGGAAAAGAAAAAGAAGTAATACTAAATTCAATTCTGAATTTTTATTATCACTTAGTACTATAGTCTATTGCAAGTGGTCTAATTGCAATCGTGTTTGTGACCTACAACAATTATGAAATGTTATATTACTTAAAAGCAAACAACAACAAAGCCATAGGCTCCACCAAAGATTTTATCTAAGTACAGGAAATCCCCACCAATCAATTCCACCTACCTCCACCACCAAGTAGAATTTAAGAAACTGTAAAAGAAAAAAATAAAGTTTAATTCTGGATATGTCAAAAGCTATGCTTATTCAACATAAAGACTACATTTACATTTTTAGTAAACATTGCTTTTTAAAATGTTATCTTTTAAACTTGTAACATCTGGCAAGTTGAGTTGGTTCCATTAGGTCAGAAGATACCTAAACAGAAAAAGACAAAATTCTGAGACTGATGTCAGCTGTGGGTATTGGCAACCCCTATTCATATCAGGTGGAAGGGAGTCTCAACACACAAACTCACTATTCCTAGAATATAGTTGTTCACTTTCAGAGTCTCAAACTATAAAAGGATATTAAATTCTTTCTGCTTTCATAAAAGAAAAAACAATAATTTGTGCTACATACATAATAAAAAATTGCTGCTTAATCTTGTTTTGCTTATATATGTATTTACAGTTCCTTACTGTGTCTTTGTGAAAGTTAAAAAAGGACACATTCTCCCAAAGAGCATATATGTCAGCAATTATTTAAAAAATTCATTTTAGTCATTAAATAGCCTGGTTTGTGCAGAGTATTTAAATTTTAGACTTTATGTTCAGGCAAGGACAATTTTTCACTTTGTTCATTAATTAATTATACTAAGATTTTAAATTTTAAGAAGAGATATTGGTGAAACCAATATCTCATTCTTAGGGAACAGCTCATTTTAATGCAACAAGGAATATATAATTTAAACATTGATATGCTAAAATTAATTATCCCTTTTTCTCTTTCTTCTGCAATAATAACAAAATAAACAACAATAGAGCTGTAACCAAACTGAGCATCTCCTTTTCTAGAAAATACTGATATCCTAAAGGAGAAAAACCTTTTTAATAAAGAAGAAAATAAAGTAAACCATAATTGGTTTGTCATCAGTCCTGAGGTTGCCCTTCTTTATGAAATTTCATAGTTTGCCAAAAGATGGGGTTCCTGTATCCAGGATAGAAGCTGAAAGTGATGAGAAGATAAGGATACTTTTTCTAACTCTGAGGAACTGTGACTACCACAACTGGCAAAGGCCTTTTGACAGGAAGAAGTTTCCACTTTAGAGCCAAGTGTCCCTGAGATGTTTCCTTTCAGCTAAATGGCAAATGTCTCAGAGACTCAATTTCCTTATTTGCTTAACCTAGATAATAATTAATAAAGTTAAATATCAGAAACAAGAACATAGCCTGGCAAACAGCAAGTAGGTGTTCAGCAAGTCAACTATCATCTGTAAAAGCTGCAACATCATTTTCTTGTCTGTTACTTTGCCAACTCATAGTAGCTGCTCAATATATACCAATTAAATGAATGAATGAAACTTCAAATTAACCAAGAGAATTAGCTAAATAAAGCTTTCAGTTTCAGCATCTTGAGCCTATGAAATCAGAAACTCATGCCTGACTTGAACCTTGCCCTTCCTGATGCATAATTCTGTAATACCTGCCTGCCTGGCCTGTGATTTGATTGACTTCAATTTCCCTTGTCCTACTTGAGCTGCTAAGATGGCATTTCAGTCTCCAGCCTGTTTCATCCATTTAAGTTCTGTACCAATACAGAACTTGTTAAATATCTCAACAAGAAGAAAAAAAATCTGGCAACTCATATCTAAACTCAGAAGGGAACTAAATCGATCAAAATAGTCATTGAAAATTATTTTAAACAGAAACTTGGCATTAATAATATTAAGTAGCCCCTTAACCTTTAAATCTTTTAATTTCACATTTACTATAAGGAAAATAGTTCCACAGTGATGATTGTTCAACACATTTATATTAAAAAAAATTATTATTTTCAAAATTTAGATATAACTTTTGAGAAATTTACTGTTTCTTAATGAGCTCTTTAGGAGTTTCACTATTTCTCAGGGGAGCGTTTGACACTTGCCCAATCCCCAACCCTTAAAAATCACTGAAATGCTGTTACTTAGCCTTGTTTTCCATTCATTGTCAGTTCTGGCATTGCAGTCTACTGGGAAACTCTTGATTTTATTTTGTAACTATTGCCTAACTTTAAAAGGAATGTTCAAGTTTAGTAATCTTGGTAGAATTCTCATACTTATATGTGTCAGATAATTAGAGGGGAAAAAAAGTTAGTACTCGTACTTCAATCTTAATTCTCTTGTCAGGTATGTTGAGATGTTTCATGATCATTTAGTTTTTAAAAATACAAACTCATGGAATTAATCACTGAAGGAACACATTTTGAAGAAACAAATTAATTTTAGGGTTTAAATGCAACAAATTCTCCATATAGAGAAGTGAAAATTCAGAAGGGATGTAGTAGGTAAAGAATTTGTGCTTGCTCAAAGAGAAGGCCTAGCCTTATAGGATTGTCTATTTGTATGGGGGACTTGGATCAAACTAGGTGTCTAGCAATGTGATTTAGGGTGGGGGCTAGCCACACACATACAGTTTTATGTTTGGAGCTAGCCAACCAAAAACACCAACAATATAACTTAAATGGGGAGCTTTGGGTCACACAGTGTCACAATATCAATGGTCCTGGATTCTAAGATTAACCAAATGGGCAACAATCAATCAATCAACTATGCCTATATGATGAAGCCCCCCCTAAAAAACCACTGGACACTATACTCAGGTAAACTTCCCTGATTTGCAATACTGTATGCATATTGTTACACATAGATGACAGAACAGTAACATCCTAATTTCATGACTAGAAGACAACTGAAATTTTGCATTTGAAACTCTCCTGGACAACATTTCATATATGTCTTTCCTTGGCTGATCTTAATCTGTACCGTTTCCCTTTAATAAACCATAACCATGAGTATAACAGCTTTCAGTGCGTTCTTTGAGTCTTTCTATCAAATTATCAAAACTGACCTGGTGTGGGGAACTCTTTAAACCTGCAGTTGGTTTCAGAAATCAGACTGGGGACTGTGCTTCTAAGTTTGTAATTGGCTCAAACTTCTAAGGGAATTTCCATGTTTGTTTTAATATAAATATTACAGCAAATTAACTTGACTGTCATTTTAGAAGTACCAAGCTGTACTACAATGGTGCAGAATAAAAGTTATGCTAGTTTTGGCCTTTCATTAAGGTAAGCACAACCTGTCTTTGAAGTCTAAAGATTAATGAAATCTTTAATGTATAAAATTGTATAATAAAAAACATTTTCCACACTGTCATTAGGTTCTCTCTATAAGAAAAGTCTTTTAAAATAGAAGGTGGAAAATATATCTTGCTAGCATCAAAAGGCCTCACAAATTCAGGCCAGGATGGCAACAAATTGAAAAACAGTAAGTGATATACCACATGATTTTCTTCATATGAACTTGAAAATTAGGAATACTAGTCTACATCTATAGAGATCAGAATAGTGGCTAATTTGGGGTGGGTGAGGTGGGGTGGGGATTTAGGTACTGACTAGGAGGAGTCATGAGGGAATTATATGGAGTGTTGGAAATGTTCTAAATCCTGATTTGGGTGGTAGTTATGTTGTAGAAAAAATGGGTTCTGGTCACACAAACAGGAAAAGTTAGGCACACAGACAGTTGTAAGAGTGAGGAGAACTGGAATTTACTGGGCAAAAAGGAAAAAAGAAAAACTCTCAGCAAAGCAAGAGGGGTTCCTGTTAACTGGCCCCCATCTCACAGATTGAATCCCAGGTCACCACATAGGAACTGAAGACTCCAAGCTCCTCCTGCTGCAAATGGCGTGAACTTCACGAGGCTCATAAATAGTTCAAAATAAGTTTCCTTGACTCTGATAAATGAAACAAGGATCAGCCGTATTCCAAGTAAAAGTCAAAAAGATTGCTTCAGTTTTCTATGAGTTCAGACCATTTAGTTAACTCTTGTGTTACTTGATATCAGTGAACATCTTAGCTCTTTATAAGTCCTGTACATTTTTCCTTTATTCCAATGTCACAATTTCCAAAGTTATCAGCAACCTGTATTTGAGAACCCCTGTCACAGTAGTATAACTTATTATAAACCATCTTTAGAAAAGGATAGAAATAAGACAATTCTCTGTGAATAACAAAATGTCCAGGGTAGTTACAGTTAGAAACAAAATTGAAAAAGAAGATTCATTATCTCTGTGTTTTACAAGAACTTAATATAACTGCCTTAATTATGATTGATAGCATATACTTTAGATATTAGAACTTTAGAAATCTCATATAATGTTGGAACATATATTAATATTATTCACCAAAATATAATCTAAAGAAGATTGAACACTATTTTGGCAATAGCATGTAGCTAAAGACGTCAAATAATCCTGTTTACTAGTCTTTTAAATACTCCAGTTTCCCTCTGCAGCATCCAAAATCCAGGCATAAGCAAAGACAATCTTGAAATTGAGGTTTTGGGAAGCCTTTTAAATATGCAGAGATTTAAAATACTTGATGTTATGAAACAGAATTCCAGATTACCATAAGCTATTTATTTTGCCAAAAATGCCTCAGAAAAGCAAAAAAAGCAAAAACCTTGTATAACTATTTACAAATTTTGCTAAAGAGCAGATTAATGCCTTAAGAGTACCTTGTGCTTTAATTTCAATGCTCAATTTACAGAAAAACCATATAATACCCTTTTGAATTTAGTCAACATATTCACACATGGAACTTTTACAAGATTTTTATAATCCTTCTGCCACTTGTTTGAACTTTAGCTTTAATCTTACCTAATTTAGTACAATTCTTTAACCCTAGGCAAAAATTTACATTTCCATGCCTTTTTATAATCTTTTACTAAAAAATGTTACTGCTCTTATACGCCTCACATTGTAAGTCTATTTCCAGTAGTTTCAACTACATTTTTAAATTTTTAACTTTAATATAAAACCTAGTAAGTAGTTTTAATTATGTGCTAGGTGCAGCCAAGGTTTGATTCCTTCCTGCATAACTAATGGCATAGTCAATTTTATATGTGCCTGAGCCTTACCAATTGTAGAGCAGCCAATTCAAATAGTTCTCAAAACCCAAAAAGCAGTTTATAACCTTAAAACATTTAGAAAATTTAGTATCTGATCTGCATAATTTATTTCATATATTTACATTTTGACAACATCTGACATTTTACCAATAATTTTTTTTATTTTTTGAGATAGAGTTTCACTCTCATTGCCCAGGCTGAAGTGCAATGGCATGATCTTGGCTTACTGCAACCTCTGTCTCCCAGGTTCATGTGATTCTCCTGCCTCAGCCTCCCAAGTAGCTGGGATTACAGGCATTCACTACCACACCCAGCTGATTTTGTATTTCTTTAGTAGAGACAGGTTTTCACCATGTTGGTCAGGCTGATCTTGAACTCCTGACCTCAAGTGATCCACCTGCTTTGGCCTCTCAAAGTACTGGGATTACAAGCGTGAGCTATTGCACCTGGCCTCAATAATCTTTAAGGCTGTTTTTATTTCTCAAATATTAAAGTCACATGAATTAAAAGGTATCACAGCTTTTATCTTTTCTTTAAAAAATATTTGATGAAAGCACTTGTCTTCCTTTAGGCCAATTAATTAGAGCTATTTTTATAGACATCACACACACAACACATATATAAAACTACATAGACAGGCAGAAGGAAACCCAGTTGCCACAAGATCTTTCACTTGCCAGTCTCCTATTTTGATTATTGGGCTCCTGGTGGAGATCTTTAAGAGACAGGGCCAGGAAAACATGTAGCTTCTAAGGCCTAATAAACAGGCATAATTGAAAGCAGAAGCAGATTTTGAGAGGGATCTATCTGCTTTTAATTCCTGGGTTCCGTTAGGAAAACAGAGGTCTCTCCCTTCTCATATATGCATTAAAAGTTGCAAGGCAAAATGGAGAAAAAAGAATTCCGTTGACTGAGAAAAAAACTTTTTCCACTGGTAGGCTGAGATGGGTGGATCACGAGGTCAGGAGTTCAAGACCAGCCTGGCCAAGATAATGAAACCCCATCTCTACTAAAAATACAAAAATTAGCCAGGTACAGTGTCAGGCACCTGTAATCCCAGCTACTCAGAAGGCTGAGGCAGGAGAATCATTTGAAACTGGCGGGGACAAAGGTTGCAGTGAGCCAAGATTGCAGCATTGCACTCCAGTCTGGGTGACAGACTGAGACTGTTTGAAAAAAAAAAAAAAAAAAAAAAATTTTTCCAGCAAAACAAGAGCCCAGAAGAGAAAAATTAAGACCTTTTAAATATGCCCATAATTTGGATATCCACTTTTGTGTTTAATGGGTTCATGAAGATTTTATTTTAATTACATAAATGTATGTACAATGAATTGCGACATGAAATAGATTTCCTACTTTGGCTTCGAATCAAAACAATTTGGAAGCCACTGTTTTAGGCACACCACTCCAAATCTTGCTCAAAAGTGAGAAAAGTGGAGTATTCAGATCACAGTATGTGTGAAAGATTATAATCAAGGGCAGCCAAGGTGACTCATGCTTGTAATCCCAGCACTTTGAGAGGCTGAGTTAGTCAAGTCACTTGAGACTAAGCTGGCAGACATGGTGAAAACCCATCTTTACTAAAAAAAAAAAAAAAAAAAAAAAAAAAAAAAAAATCTTGCTAAGCCAGGTGGCACATGTCTATAATCCTAGGGAGGCTGAAGCAGAAGAACCACTAGAACCCAGGAAGCAGAGGTTGCAGTGAGCTGAGATTGTACTCTAACCTGGGCAACAGAGCAAGACTCCATTTCAAAAAAAAAAAAAGTTATAATCAGATGAGAGACAAAAATGGAAAGATTGGCCTGGAATGCCATGCTAAAAAGTGTGGTGATGGGGAATTTAGAAAGGCTTCTATTGGGGAAGGCAAGTATTTACGTTTTTTGAATATCTAATATATTTTTATGGTTCAAAGCCCCAAAAGTATTGCAGAGCATGTAGTGAAAAGTCTCACTTTCACCCCATCCTCCATCCCCTTAGTTAGTTAGTTCTCTTGTGACAGACATTATTCGTTTTTTGGGTATCTTTCCAGAGATGTTTTATATACGTAAAAATAACTGTGTATGTTTTTATGTTGTCCCTTTTTTACATAAATGATAGCAGATCACGTACCACATAAATTTTGTTTGTTTATACTTATTACGGGATTGCTCTATCACAGTAAAGGAAAAGCTTGATGTAAGGTTGTTGGGGAAGGAAAATTACTAGATCTGGTTTATAGGTTAAGCAGTCAAGGCTAAATTAGAAAAACAGAATGTTCCCTTCAAATTTGATCTCAAAACTCACCTTAGGTGCTCCTCTCTTTCTTGTCTTAAAGTTCTTAAACCACCTTCCGGCTAAACACATTTTATCTGTTTCCCTTTGGGTTTTTGGGATTCTCTCCCTTTGCTTCGGATATCCACTTTTTTTTTTTTTTTTGAGACGGAGTTTCGCTCTTGTTACCCAGGCTGGAGTGCAATGGCGCGATCTCGGCTCATCGCAACCTCCAACTCCTGGGTTCAGGCAATTCTCCTGCCTCAGCCTCCTGAGTAGCTGGGATTACAGGCACGTGCCACTGTGCCCAGCTAATTTTTTGTATTTTTAGTAGAGACGGGGTTTCACCATGTTGACCAGGATGGTCTCGATCTGTTGACCTCGTGATTCACCCGCCTCGGCCTCCCAAAGTGTTGGGATTACAGGCGTGAGCCACCGCGCCCGGCCCGGATATCCACTTTTAATTAAGCTGAATGCTCTTTAAGAAAATCCTTTCAACACCCTTGTTACCTGACTTTAGCCATGCCAAGCAGCCAATATTTCTGGCTTCCAAACTTTACTAAAAGCTCAGGGAAAGCAAAATCCAAGGCAGTTCGTGGAGGGGAAGAGAATCAACAGAGGGCAAAGGTCACACAGATATCAAAGCAGAAAGGAGTCGTTTCCCAACTCAGGATTGAATCTGGGCTGTATAGACACTAAACAAAGCATTGCCATGTGTTTACAGAACATGCTCTCAAGGACCTAAAACAAGATGGAGACCTGTAGCCAAGTTTGTTGCTGACCATGCTGACCATTCCGAAAGTCATGCAAAGCACACCAGATTGGCTACAGCTTAAGACCAATCTCACAAATTTTTTCTTAACTAAAACTTTACAGAGAATGTGAATGGTGATCATTGGGATCCTGGCCTGGTAAAATGTTTTCCAAATAGGAAAAAAAGCCCTGTAACATAAAAATTAACTGCTGATTGGATAGAGAAAAGGAAACAAAAGTTAAAGTGCAAGGTTGGAAAGATGCTTGGAGGAAGAACTTACTCTTATGCAAATAGTTACTTTCCTCGCCCCAGGCTTGGACCCAGCAGCAGTCTGGCAAGCCAACTATGCAGGGCCTGAGCCCCCAAGGTAGCCTTGGGGCCTGGGTAGTGGCTGTGGCTCATTCCTGCCCTGCGGTTGGATACTGCACACACATGTGGGATTCAGGGCCACACACCCCAGCTGGTAGAGAAGGTAGGTGGGGCACCACTCCTTGTCCAACCATCCCAAAGGCATGCCTATGGCTGTTGGGGTGGGTGTGGACCACTTCCCATAACGTTAAAGAAAGATAGGTGCCGTTAGTGTTCTAAACAAAAAAAAAAAAAAAAAAGAAAAAGAATAAAAATGTCATAGAACAAATTACTCAGAAATAAAAGTGACAGATTTTCGGTCCACATTTCACTCACCCTTCTTCAGGTCCCAAAATGTTGTAAAAAACAAAACAAACAAACAAAAACCAGGTTCTTGTCACATGACCAGGAGAAGTTAGGCACACAGACACTTTGAAAGGTGAGGGGGAACGGAATTTATTGGGTGAAAAGGAAAAAAAACTTAGCAAAGCAAGAGGGGTTCCCGTTAACAGGTCCCTACCTCACAGATTGAATCCCAGGTCACCACACAGGAACTGAAGAAACCAGGCTCCTGCCCCCTGCAAAAGGCATGAATTTCCATAGGCTCCACACTATCCTCCCCGTGCCCAGGCCAGTAGAAGCTTCTCCCAGGACCCTCCTTTATCTTCCTCCGTCATCTGTCAGTTGTATGAAGTGGTGTATAGCACTGTTTTCTTAAGGTTTCTATACTTTGGAACACTTCAATGTTTAAAAAAGCTATAGCTCAATTTCAAAATTTTCTTGGTCAAACAATAAAGGAAGCACTGACTGTAAAAAGAAAACTAACAAATACTTACTTGTGTCTACTATGTGTCAGGCATTCTGCTGGTACTTGTGGATACAACCTAAAGCAAAAACAAAGAAATAAAACTGGCTTATACACTGAATCAGCCATTTTTATCCTTTAAACTACCACCAGCAACAAATTAGAATTTTAAAATTCAATGGCTTTATTCTCTAGAATGAATCCTACAAATATATCTTTTAAGAGTTCACATATGAAAGGTTTTATAAATAAATTCTACCTATACTTATATGATCAATTCAAATTTCAGATTTCTGCAAAGGCTTTTAATCTCCTGCAGCCAACAGGTGCCTATCTTTAATTTAGACTCCTTTCGTATTCATAAAAAAAACTACCACACAACTCAGCACCTAATCATTCTTAAAAAGCCTTGTGGATGTTAAATTTGTCTCCTACCCAAACTGTAAGTTCTTGTAAATTCTTTGAGAATAGAGATCATATATTTTTCTTTGGAGTGTTTTACAATGCTTAGGAAAGTGTGGATTATGTGATATATGATTAATTAATTGTTGGTAGAGTGAATGAAAATTTCACTTGATCATATTAAAAAAAATTAAGAATAGTTTATAAATTTCAGGAAAAATTAATTTTTAAAATAATATCCAGCATTTTATTTTACCACTTTCTATTAGCTCAATTTTTGTGTGCTTGAAAGAGATAAAGGTTATTATTGACATTCCATTCCATTCTGTTCTCTTAGGTTCAGTTCTGATAAGAACTGAAGAGGGCTACCCTTAACTGCTTAATGCCAGTATGTTTGCTTTAATTGAGGAAAAGCTTTATGGATCAAACATTTTTTCTTTAAGTATCTCTTTATCTCTTACAGTAATAGAAACCATACTTTTTATCTGAGTATATAGTTGCCTAAAATAAGGACTGTATGTTCTAGCTTTCCTTGCAACTGGATGTGGGCATGTGACTTAAGTCTGGTAAATAAAATCACTGTAAGTCATAGGTGGACTTTCAACTCATGTTCCCAAAGGTATGTCCTTTTCTTCCCCTCTTCCTTTAGACTGCTTCTTGAAATATACATGATCATGACTGTGAGCCATTTTGAACTATTAGATGAAAACAACACAAACATCGTATTTTTAATGTCTGAGAGCTCTTTTTGCTCTATCATTGCTCCTTTTTCAAAGTACCTTGTTCATATCTTGTAGATGTAATATGTTCTCAATTCCATATTAATTGGGGTGCTTCTTAAAAATCTTCTTTTATTTCTGCTTCCTTGACTCCTTTAGAGTTAGTTTTTTTATGTTTTTCTTTGTATTTTTCTTTCATGATACGGATTTTCCTTATTTGCCTGTTAATTATGCATTGTATGTCCAAATATATATATATAAACACACATACATATATAAGCAGCTGATGCAGTTTTCCTTTTTGTAGGTAAGAGGTCTGCCAGTTCTCTCCTGGGTAGGAAGTATGAATATGTGACTGAGTTAGGTAGGGCAGGGCTAGGAATGCCAAATATGAGGTTTCACTTTAGATGAGTAGGCAATTAGCTGGTTCTGAGGATGCTGGCCCTGAATGCCAGAATGAGAATGGTTTTCTCCTGTGTCATCAACATAAAAGTTTTCACTTTTCTGTACTATTTATTCAATTAATTTGGAGAAGATTTGGGGGTCATTTTTGGTTCCCGTTTTTGTCTGGTGGCAGGTATTAATCTCTTTTGCTTGCTCTTGGTGTATATGGATGGGAAAGAGCAATGTGTGGTGATAGATTCAATTGTACCATATTTAGAATGTGATCCCCATTGTCAGCCCTTATTCTCACTTCTGCCCTATCCTATGTAGCTTCTCCACTATATTTTTTAGGCTGTGGTTTCAGTAAAATCATTACTATTTGCTTTGTTTCCCAGTAAATTTTTGAAATTTTATTTGCTTTTCTTGACATCATCTTCTCTCTTCTACTCACATAAGAACATGCATACAGGCACACATCATCTTTACTCCTTTACTCATTCTTCATTTTTTCTGCTTCTACATTTTTGTTTCTATAGTGTGTAGGAAAAGATAGTAGACAAATTATATGCCAAGTTCACCATCTTGAATGGTATTTCAAGAAAATTCCTTTATATATTGTAAGCATATACTTTGAAACCTGGCAAAAACATATTGCAGGATTATCCAAAGCTGATTGTCCCTTGGTCACATGACCACCTGTACAACATTCCTATTCAAAGGGAAATGAAATTACTTTGGGAGAAGCTCATATTTCTTGAGTTGTTTGGAGCTTTTATGAAATCATCTTATTGGTTAAGGAAGAGGAGAGAAATGGTGATTGAGGAGGCAAACAGCAGTGTCTTCCATGGTAGTAATCTAATTTTTTTCTTTGCTAATATAATTTATTTAAAAGATGGGAAAACATTTTAGAATTGAGTCTTTTATTAATCAGTATTCCCCAAAGGTTAAGCATAACTTCAGAAAAGGAACTGCACTGGAATGCAGTAAAGATGGAATTTTAAGACTTGGTGTTGCAAGATAAGGCAGGGGTGCAAAAGGGCAGGGAAGAACTAGCTGACAAAAGGTAAAACAAGAAAGGCCTAGAAGTTGAGGCTATGGCACACTGGTGAGCTAGGCAGACCTAGTGGACACACATACTGAAGGAGATACCCAGAGACTGACGGGCTGGAAATCGTTCTGAAACTTGGCAGCCCATCCTGACAATCCATTAAGTGACAAGTCTGAGAATGAAAGGCTAACATACTACAGGATAATAAAACATAAAAATGAAAAAAAGTCAGAAGCATGAATGATTCTGTTGACTTGTAGGAAAATAGGCTGGAAACACTTTCACCTCAAAATTTTCTGGGGACAATTTTGAGATAATTTAAGGCACTCTTTGTAGAATGAAATGTTCCATATACACAAGACACAAACAAATATATGGTTTTAAATAAATGGGTTCAAATTATGTATATATTATATTGGAAGCTATTTCATTCAACTGTACATCTTGGATATATTCCCATATCAAGCAATAGAGATTAACATCATACTTTTTTAATGCCTCTAAAGTATTCCACTTTAGAAATGTATTACAATTTCTTTAAGCCCAATATTAAACCTTTTTTTGGTATGACTTTTTTTTTTTTTTTTGAGACAGGGTTTTACTCTCTTACCCAGGCTAGAGTGCAGTCATGTGATCATGGCTCACTATAGCCTTGACCTCCTAACTCAAGTGGTCCTCCTGCTTTAGCCACCTGAGCAGCTGGGACTACAGGTGCATGCCACCACACCCAGCTAATTTTCATATTTTGTTTTTTGTAGAGACAGGGTTTTGTCATGTTGCGCAGGCTGGTCTCAAACTCCTGGGCTCAAGTAATTCACCCACTTCAGCCTCCCAAAGTGCTGGGATTACAGCTGTGAATTACCACACCCAGTTGTATAATACATTTTTTTAAATTTTGAGATGAAGTCTCACTCTGTTGCCCAGGCTGGAGTGCAATGGCACGATCTCGGCTCACTGCCACCTCCGCCTCCTGGGTTCAAGTAATTCTCCTGCCTCAGCCTCCTGAGTAACTGAGATTACAGGTATGCACCACCATACCAGGCTATTTTATTTTTATTTTTTTATTTTTAGTAGAGACGGGATTTCACCACGTTGGCCAGGCTGGTCTCGAACTACTGACCTCAGGTGGATCCACCTGCCTTGGCTTCCCAAAGTGCTGGGATTACAGGCATGAGCCACCACGCCTAGCCTGTATAATACATGTTTAAATGCAGTGTGGTGTTTTGTTCTGTTTTTCAGTTACAGATGGGTTCTTGCTCTGTTGCCTAGGCTGGAGTTAAATGGCATGATCATAGGTCACTGTAGCTGCAAACTCCTGGCCTCAAAAGAGCCTCCCAACTCAGCCTCCTTAGTAACTAGGACTACAGGTATGTACCATCAAGCCTGGCTACTTTTTTGGGGGGGGGTGTAGAGATGGGGGTCTTCCTATGTTGCCCAGGCTGGTTTTGAACTTCTGGCCTTAAGTGATCCTCCTGCCTCTGGGATTACAGGTGTGAGCCACTGTGCCTAGCCCACTGCAATGAGTTTTAATTAGTTTCCCAGCCATGCATTAATTCCAACCCACCCTACTCAATATTGCCAAAATAATCTCCCATTACCAATCATTTTGTGATTCCCAAACACTGACTGCCTATTATACTCAATTCTTTAAATTCAAAATTGAGTCTCCTTATAGACTAGTTTGTTTACATTTTAACTTTGTCACTACCTTCTATTAAGAATGTTCCATTACAGATAAATAGGTTACTCATTATCTCGAATACAGTTATAGTTCTGTTTCTTGGTTTTCCTCATGGCATACTTTCTGGACAGTCTTTCTCTGTGTCATCAGGGGCCATTTCATTAGGCTGTCTTTTCACTAACATTTGGGGAAGCTGGGCTTGATGGCATGTACCTGTAGTCCTAGACTTGGGAGGGTGAAGCAGAAGAATCACTGAGCATTGGAGTTCAGCGTTGTTCTGCACAATGGTCATGCTTGTGAATGGCCAGTGCACTTGCACAATACAGCAAGACCCCAATCTCTTGGGAAAAAAATTGAGGAAAACCCGGGGACTAGAAAGAACACAAATATAGTTCTTAGAGTTCAATGAAATAAGGCCATTCCTCAGTATGCACAGGGGATTAGTTCCAGGACATCCCCACATACCAAAACCCCAGGATGCTCAAGTCCCTTATGCAAAATGGTACAGTATTTGCATACAACCTATGCACATTTTCACACATACTTTAAACCAACTCTAGGTTACTAATAATACCTAATACAATAGGAAGTGCTATGTAAACAGTTGTTATACCCATATTGTTTAGGGTATAATGACAAGAAAAAGTCTGTTCATGGTCAGTGCAGACATAACCATTCTTTTTTTTCCCATTGTTTTTCTTCTAAAGTCGGTTGAATCTACAGATACAGACCCACGGCTACAGAGGGCTAACCAGGTCTATTAATAGAAATATGGTGATCATAGAAACATGATGCAAGCCACCTATGCAATTTAAAATTTTCTAGAAGTCACATAAAAAATAAAC